CAAGGTCTAGGATTTAGGGTTCAGAGGTTAGGGTCTAGATATTGGGTTTCGGATTGATAGATTTTTGATTACTTGTGGTTAGTTGAAAATGGAGCAATGGAAAGCTATTATTTCAGGCTTTAGCGCTTCGAGTCGGAAACGGAGGACCCCCTGTAGAAGTCCCTGTATGATTCCACGCAATGGTCCCCATACCCTGCATCCTAAATCTCTCCCCCACCGACCACCAGCAAGTTTATAGGGCTTCAGGGTCCAGGGCATAACACATCAGGATGGAGGGCTTAGGGCTTTGGGTTTAGGGTTTGGGGTTCAGGGTTCGGGGTTCAGGGTTCGGGGTTCGGGGTTCAGATTTGTCTTTCCCAGCAGTGGTGCATGTAGGCTGATGTCTCGCGAGGCTTCCAGCTTTGAGGGGCTTTGGGTGCTGGGGCCTTGGGGCTGGTGGGCTCCGAATTATTGCCGCGAAGAACGTGGACCCCCCCTATAGACCCTGCACCCTTTCTGTGGTTCCATATTCGTTTCGGACAGGCGTCCTTCACTCTTCTTGCAATGCTCTGGATCGGAGGTTTGGGGTCTTTGGGTTACCTATAGTCCCTCCAATGTAGGTCGGGGATTCCTGAAGAATCCTAACCCAAAAATCATATTAAACCCAAAAAACACTTCCATTGTAGGGTCCAGGCAGGGTCTAGGAGTGATTGTCTTGTCCTTTGGTGAATATAATCCGGACTATGGTGACCGCACAGGGTGATGGGAATGTGACCGGCGTTTGAAAAACTCGGGATGTGGTTTACCATAGCTGAAGATGATGCAGGGTGTCTTATTATAAGTCAGTATTACCTTGGATAATCTGTGCTACCCTGCGGAGCTTGTTCCAAGCCCTGTGGGATTCTACATGTTCAGAGGTTATTACATGCATATCAGGGGCAGCATGCTGTAAGGCATCATAGGTCATAGACTTCCGTTTTACTGGCGAGCTCTGTCATGTTAAGAGGGGTTTGCTTCGCCTGCGTGAGGAGTTTTGCATGGTTCATGTACCGTGCGCTTCAGGGTTCGAGGGTAGCCCTAGGGATCCAGATAGCCCAATGTAGGTAATATTTGCAGTCTTTGGGGCCCAATGCCAGCAAATTCCGTAGAATTTGCTGGAACTTCCACCCGAGCTCACAAAACTCCTTATGTTTCGGCAAGCAAAAGTATTCGACGCTCCGTTTTTAACTTGTACACCCCAGAATGGCATTGCCGTAAACTTGTGTCTGGCAGTCACCTGGACTTGCCGGTTTAGAGGTGTGGGGGTGTAGAGGTTTCTTCCACAATATTTCTGTGGGTCTAGGGGCTTGGTCTTGGGTGGGCCTCCTTAACATGATGGAAGAATGCGGAGATCCACTCCACAGTTTCAGCGACATGCAGGTTAACAGGGTTCGGCATTACCCAGCCAAAAGGTGTGCTAAACCTAAACCCATATTAATCCTAGAACCCCCAAACCCTAAATCCCAAACCCTGGTTCCTAAGCCCCAAATCCTCAACCCTACACCCCTAAACCCTAGCAGGGCAATCTCTATTCAAGCACGGTTTGGTTGTCAGATGCGAAGGGTTTAGGATGTAGGGCTTAGGGTTTGGGGTTTAGGATTTAGGGTTTGGGGTTTAATTCGGATTTAAGTTTGTAAGTGTTAGGGTTTGGGATTTAGGTTAGGGTCTAGGTTTGGGGTTTAGGCTGCGTGCGAGCCCAGATGCAAAAGGATTTAGGGTTTGGGCTTTAGGGTTTAGTGTTTGGGGTCTAGAATTTAGGGTTGGGTTATGACCATGTTGGGCACTCAGTGCCAACATTCGGAAGCGGGACAGGTGGCTAGGCTTCACTCTTCATGACTACACGCAGATGGAGCTTTCAATTCGCCACCGTGTGTGCCGCTCGACGCACATCAAAGTCCCGCCATCGGAGGCCAGCATCCAAATTCTCTGAAGCACTGTATGGTGCGAAGAAAATGGCCGCGCATGGCCGCCTAAATCTCTCCCAACAAAACTGAATCCTCTTGGCTCCCCCCCCCCCCTCAGCGCCCCAGTGCCGCATAGTATGTATTCGGAACCAGGTTTACGCATCAGGTACCGGGCCAGATGTGTAGTAATGTCCCGAGATTGTTTGTCATTCTATGTTCTCATTTGCCTTTGTCAGCAAGCCGAAGCTGTATCAAAGGCAGAGCTCCCAGGGCTTGTTTAAGGCTTTCATGCGTTTTGTTTTCAGGAGGTTTGTAATTTGGGTTCTTAGAGGGTTCACAGTACGGTTTGGAGGTTTTGACCTTATAGGTTGCTGCATAGGCCGTGATGAACCAGAGAAGTTAATCCTTCTCGGGGTCAGGGGACTCAGCAGCTAGGCCAGCAGAACCCTCTGATCCTTCCACCCATTCTTTTGCAAGGATTTGTCCTAGCTTCGTACATTATGTTTGTAGTACTCTTTAGTATTTATTAGTATTACTAGTATTCTTGCTAATTACTACTAGTATTACGCGTATCATATCCGTAAGCCCTGATCAGGACAGCGTGGAAGATGTGACAGCAGCGTCGGTGAAACTGTGCCAGCCTTAGATAAGTGGGCAATGCGAGTCGCATAACCCTGGGACTCCGAATAGCATAAAGTAAGCACGGTACTCCTCATGAACCTAGGGCCCAAAGTAGGCGTTCTTTGAGAGCCCAGAGCCCCGAGGTCGCACGTAGGGCCCCTTGAAGAGCAACACTTCCATGTACGCAGCATACAGTGATGGCAAGCATCCCTGATAAGCACTTATAAGGGATGTCTGGGTTGTTCAGAGCCGTGCAGGTATGGTGCATTGATTGGGGCGGGCTTTACATGACAAGTTGAGGGGGACTTTAGTAACGGGTCGGCCTCATTGCCACGCGTGGTATTATCCCTTTAAGCGAAGTCTAGTGATATTTTTCAGGATCTTCTTGGTAATGGCCGGTTATCCCAACAAGCACATGGGTGTAAGTGCAAGCGCGTGCTAGGTGTCATGTCCGAACACCCAATGTATTCGGTAACGTGAAGCGAACGTTTAGGTGTGACATATCTGCACCTTCCAACGTTATTATGTTTTGGCTTTGGTATGTTCAGGGTTAGGATTCTCCAAAAGAAAAAACGGTGTCACCTACACTGGAGGGTAGTCTCTCATGAACCTCCGATAGCGCCTGGAGGCAGCACTTGCCCAGCCCTTCCTGCAATGATCCTGTGGTTTCTCAACGTAAGAGTACCTTTAGTGACTCCAATGTACGGGGACCTGCTGTCGGTGTTTTGAGGAAATTACATTTCATGGAAACATGCTGTATGAGCAGCTCTTGCCAGGTATCCTGACTATTGCGGCTTGCTGTTCAATGAATGTCCCCTGGTAAGCCTACATGAGTCGCATGTTAAGTCAGGCCGGCAAGCATGCGAGACATCCAGACTTTTTCTGCGCCCTGCCTTGCATAAACACGAGGAGTAGGGAGAGTCGTAGCCCTCAGTTTGACAGAAAAGAAGTTGGCCGGCCCCAAACTGTACATGGATGGAATCTTGCACCGCCCCATACACCCTGTACAATCAAATTGTTATGGGGTGTCTAGGTGGTGCAACATTTCCTCCATTCAGCCAAGTACGGATATAAGAACTCATGGCCCAAAATCCTGCGTTATTTAGGTACTTGGTGGGTTAGGGTTTCAGGGTTGTTTGGGGGCTCGGGGGAGAACCGTGAAGAAGCGTGCATTCAGTGGTTGGTGAGGTAGTTTTTTTCATCCTGGGAAGGTTCGGGGTTTGCCCAGTTATAGGCCCCCTTGAGTAGCTAGAATATGGGGTAATTGGGGTTATATTGGGGCTATATGGGTACAATGGAAATGAAATGGAAACTACTAGAATGGGCTATATAGGGTATAGAATATGGGGTATATGGGGATCTTATTACAGTATACCCAAATCCATAGCCTATCTACTTGAGAAGGGGGATTAGAGGTTCTGGTCAACTCCAAACAGGTCAGCAGCTTCGCTTAGACTTACAGGACGTGTTGGGCTTCTTCGTTTGGTGCACATATTTTGTGCAATGGATTTAGTGTATACAGCTAACAATCCATACTCTGTGGAATGGATATTGAAAAGCTGGCAGCCAGACTAGGTGCCATCTAGACTCAGAAATGTTCAAGCCTATCATCCTTGGAAGGTAGGTGGGGTATGTGGGGGACGTCCACTCTCAATGTTTTCGTGCCTTTGTATAGATCACCTAGTAATACTTGACTCTGCAGTCCGCAGTGTTAACATGGAAAACGGCCCCTATAAAGACTACTGTTCGTGGAAAACGGCCTATATTGACTTCATGTAACTTCCATGTGTCTTGAAAGCTTTTTTTGCTTAGCCACGGGCTCCAACTGTCTTCATTGTACCCGCGCTTATTAAACATAGGTCACAAAATCATCATCCAGGATCACTTTGCCACATGGCCCATGGAAGCATTGTTTCGGTATTTGGATAAGATGACCCAAATCATGTCCTCAGATTATGGATCCCTTGAAATTTGGGGCCTTCTCGGGGTTCTTTTGAAGGAGTGCCGAGTAGGGGTTTGGTTATGTCAGTGCGTGAATTAATTCTGCACTTCAACGTTTTGCCTTCACTTGAAATTTTTATGGGATGTGAAGGAAAGGATCCGTATAGTCACCCATTTTTTGCCCCCGAATGTTGTAGTATGCATTATCTCTTTCTTTCCTTCAGTCCCCATTCACAAACAGCAAGAGAGAGAGAGAGAGAGAGAGATAGATATATACATATATGTATATATATATATTATATATTTCAATGTCTGGTCATGTATGCATGGTTTTTCAAAACCCGCCATTTTTCTTGTCAGTTCTCCTGTGAATGATTCTCCAGTACTGACCCTAAGCCCTTCACCCTAAAAAACCCTAAACCTTAATTGCCGTATTATTCCTACCCTGAGCCCTGAACCCTAAACAACTATCAAGTTCAGTCTGGGGTAGTTTTTACTCAGGCCTGGCTAATGCGTGAAGGCAAACTTCCAGGCTTCAAATTTCATGGAGGGCTAAACGTGCGAGGCCGCTTGAGATTAGCTACCGCTTAGGGTTTATTGTGTATATGTTAGGTGGACCCCCCTCCGAGTAAAAGTGACTATAAAGGATAATAAGGACTGTATTAAGCTTCTCCTGTACTTCTATTTTACCACTATTGCAGGGAGGGGGCTCCTCCTAATGTATTCAAGCTATATTCTAAACCCCGAGACCCCCCCCCTTGATAGCCCCTACAACACCCCCCTATAGAATCCCCTATATAACCCCCTTTAAGGAGTTGAGATTACAGATCATATGGTTTGGAATTTATGGCCTTCCAGGCTTAAGGGGCCATGTTGGATTTAAAGCAAGACTCAATGATGTGCAGGTCTTAGGCTGGGAGCTGGTAGGATGTAGGGTTTAGGTTTAGGTTTAGGGCTTAGGGCTTAGGGCTTCGGGTTGGGGCTTAGGGTTTGGGGTTTAGGGGGACCTCGGCACAAATGAGAAGCTGCAGAACCTGCAATGGCCTTTCTCCGCGCTGCCCCAAGTGAAGCACCCAAACCCACTTCCTCACAGACTTCAACTTACTGGTGGTTAGTAGGGAAAAAGGGAATATGATCCATGTATAATCCCCATCTATCTATCTGTCTATCTCTATATATATATATAAATGCGCAATGTAGTCAAGAATTCCCTGCTGACCTCCAGTACTTCAAAACCTCAAATCCGTCTGAAACCTAAGCCCTTCCTCAACAATCACAGGCCTTGCTTCTTCCCAGGTTAGTAGGGAATACGAAAGTATACTATATAGAGCGTATATCGGGATTTTATTCCCATATTTTCTACAAAGCACCAGTAAGTTCATCGGTGATGGAGTGCTCGGCTGGGTGCTTTTAGCCTCAGGAGTTTTTGCGGTTGAGCCCGGCGATCCAGGAGGCTTCCATGAAGATGTCGGCTGAGGCGAAAGGGGACATGAAGAAGGGCTTTCAGGGTTTAGGGCTTAAGCCCGAATAGGGGCTTATCTTTCAGGGTTTAGGGCTTAAGCCCGCATAGGGGCTTATGCTGGCATGCTGCAAGTTGAGCGTGAAAAGTGGTTCAGGGTTGAGGGCCCATAAGGTTCAACATTTCAACATTTGGTGACGAGGCCCTTTACACTGTCAGGGGCTCTCAATCCTTCAATGCAGTGGAAGCTCTGCCAGTGCTCCCTTTCGTGAACCATACATTGCATGCGCGCCATTTCTCATGACACGTGACTGGACGTCTGTATATGGCAGTAGTTTCTCCCACTTGCGCGAAAGCAGCTGAATCGCTATTGTTAGACTGATTAGGCTGGCAAGGTCCTGCTTTCGGCTTTTGGGGTTGGGGCTACTGTGGATGGGGTGTGAGTGTGAGGGTTTGTGCATGGCTCCCCTGCTTTGTGTGGGTCGGGTGCCTGGCGTTGAAACAAGGATCCATGACTCAGCTGCTTCAGTGCCTGGGTGGCCCTGAGACGTCCGCACTAAGACACCTGCGTGCAGAAAGCCGTCACCGTGAAGCAATCGGACTACAGTATCAAACTACAAGCCGCTTTACATGTTCAGCTGAGTTGGGAGTTTTGGGTCGTTTGGGTGCACGTGGCATGCTTTTAGGAACATGCATCTAATCTGCAAGGTATCTTTCTGGTGAGCTGATGCTTCTTTATCCCTCCATGTGATATAATGAGGAAGCCCACCTTGGCCGTAGTATTATACGAACACATTGTTGTTTGATGTACAGACAACCCTAAGGGTCCAAGTACCTGATCATAGACTTTTCCAAAACCAAAGCTATAATTACTACTACCCAATGCCCAAGTACCTAATTGTTGGGTACATGCACCGTGTGTCCAATGTAGATGGGGAAGATTTATTGCTGTATTGCACAGGCAGTGGTTGTAAGGCAGGGGGATGGACTTGTGCAGCATAGCTGGTGAGAACGGGACTGGCCAGGGCCACTGAGCCAGACGCCCGCTCAATCTCAAGCCCTTGATTATGTGGTTGCCAGTCGTAACCTTCCCAACCCTCAACCCCAAACCCTAGCTAAACCCTGAAAATGTTCCTGATTGAACAACTAGGTTGCAAACACTGGCCAGGGTGACAGTTGGAGAGACATCCGCATGTAGGTGCTACCAAGCAGCCGAGTCCAGGTACCATGTATAGACTTTCGGGCACGATGTAGGCATCATGTATAGATAGAGCCCACGAGAAATGGACCATGTTTAGATAGAGCCCCTGGGAAATGGACCATGCTTCGACTTGAGGGTCTTTCTCATCCTTAACTTAGTTGAAGAAATCTTTTGGAATATTCGGATTCTGGGTGCCTGTTACTACATGGGCTAGAGCGGCAAGGCTTCGATTAAGGCTTGCAAACGAGGTTCAGTATAAGCCCTATATAACCCCATTCTAGTAATTTCCATGTTCTGGTCCATTATCCCTACGTAACCTTATAAAATCCTATTTGCCCCTATATAAACCCTAATTATATAACCTCATTTTTGTAGTTTCCATTTTCGTTTTGTCACTTTCCGTATATAACCCTATCAAACCTTATATATATATACCCTAAAAACCCTGAACCCCTAAACCCTAAATCCTAAGCCATATAGACCCCAAACCGTACCTTATCCCAAAAAAGCTTATAGTAGTAGGCTTCGGGAATTCATGGTACGGCTCTCGTACATCGGCAGGAGCTGACCGCGTTGTGCGAGACGGCTGCCGCTGGGCAATTTGAGCCATAGTCCAAAGTCCTTCAGGGGGGCTATATGGGGGATCTTTTTGGCGAATATGGGTATATATAGGGCTTAGGGTTTAAGATCTAAACTCCTTAAAGGGGGTTATATAGGGGATTATTCAGGGAACAGGGAACTGTTTCATAATGTTATTTAGTGAAACACTATGAGTTTAGAGTATAGCTCATTTGAGGTCGCAAAAAAGGTCGTTCATCATGCTTAGATGTCACATGTGGCAGCACATGGCATGCACAAGCTGCAGCTTGAGTAACGCCCATTGTTCAGATCACCAGAAGCAGAGCCTGCAACCAGTCTGTAGTAGTGATGGTGTCATGCACGCCACCAACCCCTCACAAAGCCTCAGGGGGCAGCAAACTGAGCTGCAAAGGGACGTCCAGGCAACATTATCGCCAGCAGACATGTGAGCCGAAAAAATAACCCCGCATATAGAGATTATAATAGTGCCCGCACTATAGTTTTGATATGGCCATAGTTCCCTGGGCGGCCCCTTAGAACGGTGACAATTTGGGGTTGGCCGAGATGTGGTTTCATTGGCAGGCGTGTGTGACCGATACC